CGCCCGCTAACGTGCTGCGCTTCCCACTGAGTTCTGTGCCAAGAACCCTCCCCCCATGTACATCACCCTTTACTACCTAGTCACCCGCCTCCCTGACTCCCTTGCTTCAGCCAGGGACCAATTTCTCTCCCTTTGCCCCACTGAGCTCACCGTCGACCTGCTAGAGGAGCGCCTCACTGCAGCTAAGAAGACTATCGTTGCTGTAGGTGCTTCTCGCGGCGACCCTCGCGCCCCTTTCTTTAAGGGGTGTTCCCCTGTCCCCCTTCTCCCCTCTGTTGCTTCTGCTGCTGCTGTCGACCTCGTTGGCGCGGAGGTCGTGGCTGCGTCTGCTCCTAGTGGGAGGCGCCGCAACAGCAAGTGCAAGGGGGGCAAGGGTGGTGGAGGGGACGGTGGGGGCGGCGGTGGAGGCGGTGGAGGAGACGGAGGGGGTGGCGGTGGAGGTGGGGGTGGTGGCGGAAGTGGGGGCTTCGGTGGCGGCGGTGGGGGTGGTGGAGGCAGCGACAACGGCGGTCGAGGCAGCGGCAACGGTGGTGGAGGTGGCGGCGGCGGTGGAGCTGGTCGAGGTGGAGCCGCGCAGCGTGGAGGCTTTGGTGGTAGCCAGCTCTAGCAGCAGCCGCGTTCCCGTGTGACCCCGTCAGCCCAGTAGCTTCGTGAGTGGTACGCTGGGCGTGGGAGGTCTGGGGGTGCTGGTCCCTGCGCTTACGTTCTTTGCACCGGCGGGCGCCGTGGGGAGACGTGCGGCCTGCCACACACTATGCAGCGCTGCTTCAGTCGCCTGACTGACGCCTGGCGCGCCCAGTTTCCTGACGCTGTTGAGCTCCCTCGCTGGGGTGATCTGCTTCGGCAGAATGTTGCTATCTTTGATCTTGATTTCGATGCTATCCTTGCTGCCATGTATGCTGTGACTGATAGTGCTGAGGGTGACTGTTACCTGTGTGTTCCGCCCGACCCGGGCATTGAGGCTGCTGCTCTAGGTGCTAGTGCGGCTGCTGCTCCATGTACTGGTGAGTCTACTGCTCCACGTGCTGGTGAGTCTGCTCTCTCTGGTACTGCACCTACTGAGTCCTTGCACACTTTCACACTTGACTCTGGTGCTTCGCGCTCCTTCTTTCGCGACAGCACCACACTCACGCCACTCAGTCGGCCTGTCGCAGTCTCCTTGGCTGACCCCTCTGGGGGCCCAGTCCTTGCGCACTCTTCCACGGTTCTACCGTGTCCTGCGGCCCTGTCGGGCTTGCTGTCGGGACTCCACCTCCCCTCGTTCTCTACGAACTTGGTGAGTGGAGCTGACCTTCAGGACTTGTGGGTTGACTAGTTCACCCCTAGAGGTCAGTGTGTGACCCACTGCACTTGCTCTCGGACGGGCCGCCACCTGGCCACGTTCACCCGTCGGCCTGGTTCGAGTCTGTACACACTGACTACTGCGTCTCCTCCGGTTACTGCGTCTGGTCAGGTAGCCGCGTCTGGTCAGGTGTTTGCTGCCGCGTCCAGGTCTAGTCCAGTGTCTGCCCCCTGCTCGTGTCGTCCTCTATCACACGAGACTCTCCTTTGGCACCACAGCCTTGGTCACCCCTCCCTGCCTCGTCTTCGAGGTATGGCCTCCCGTACCCTTGTCTTTGGTCTCCCCAGGTCCCTCCCTCCCCTTCCTCCGAGGCCTGCCCCTACCTGTGTTCCTTGTGTCGAGGGCCGGCAGCGCGCCGCTCCTCACTCCTCCGAGTTCCCTCCGACAGAGGCTCCCCTGCAGACTCTCCACATGGACGTGTGGGGCCCAGCCCGCGTCAGTGGACAGGGTCACGAGCGTTACTTCCTGCTGGTCGTTGACGACTACTCGCGTTACACCATAGTCTTCCCCTTGTGCCACAAGGGTGATATCACTGAGGTGTTGATCGACTGGATCCGCGGTGCCCGTCGCCAGCTCAGCGAGAGTTTCGGCTCGGACCTTCCTGTTCCGCGTCTGCACTCAGACAGAGGTGGTGAGTTTTCTTCCAACCTTCAGTGTAGCCTACAATGAGGCCTTGGTGAAGATGTTCGCGGTGTTGTCCTCTGAGGCCACAAAGACCAAGCGTGACTGGCCGCGACGCTACATCTCGCGCATCAGGGAGTAACCGCAACTCGATGTGCTTCACCCTGTCGAGTCTCTCGACACAGGAGGATTATGGGCTTGCTTTTAGTGAACAAGGTCGGTCTAGAGCTAGGCCGCTCACCTAAGTCAGTGAACAAGAAAATCAACCAGCGGAGCTGAGCAGCTATGGTGCCAGCGTAGATTTCGGCCTCAGTCCTAAGCCAGAGATGATGCTCGTGTTGACCTCCATGACATAGCTCTAGAGCCGAGGCTAAAACAATAGCCCAGTGTAGACCTACGGGTCTCGTCGTCGTTCGCCCACGACGAGTCGCTATGCTCGGTAAGTCGCACTGGATGGTTCCCTCCAAGCACAAGCCCCATGCCTGATGTGGTGGCCAGGTACTTCATTAACCTCTTAGCAACCATCCAGTGAATATGACGGTGTCTCTCAGGTGCAACAAAGCACGCAAGGACACTGAGAGGATGTGTAGAGTCACTCTACAATAGAAGCTGGACTACGTGGGAGGCTACGGGGTTGTACGGACGATCGTAGCGTTATCTAGCACTTGTGCAAACTTGTGTGTTCATGGGGAAATTTGACAAGAGTTTCACTAAGAAAGTTGAGAGAACAATGAACACAATGGAGTGACAAAGTGGATATAGCAGAAACCTAGCAACGAGCAAGTCGGCTTCCAGCGTAGCACAGAGGCTGCTCGCCAACGCCGCAAGTCGGCGACGTGCTAATGCAGCTAGAAGGCGGCTTGCCAACAGTGCAAGATGGCGACCTGCCAGCGTCGCACCAGGGCGGCTTGCCAAAACAGCAGCAAGGCGGCTTGCCATCGTCGCAGCTGCCGGTGATCATGTGTACGCATATTCGCACCTACCAAGTAGGTTCAGAATAACAGTTGCGTGTACGTTGTGCGCCATCACATAAATTTTGCAGGTGCTAGGTCGTTGAGCATGTGATGCTCGACCCACTGGTCAACTTCCCCAAAACCTCATGGAGCGAAGTTCGTGCACCCCCGCAGAACTTCGCCGATTAGTTACTTGGTCGACCCAAAGAGGCCACTAAGTTGGTGTCGAATTGACGGTCGGTCGACGTTCGGAGGTCGGCGTCATCTCGACGAACATCTACGTCGACCGCCGAGGCTCTACGTCGTTCGCCAACTTCGTCGGTGTCACTGAGGTCGGCGTCATCATGCTGCACTGAAGTTAGGCAACCAAGCCCACCGACTTGATCCTCCAAGTCGACACCATCTGCCGACTTGCAGCTCGGCTGCCTGCGCCTCGCTGGCTTCGCTGAAGTCGGCTCCGCAGAAGTCGGCTTCGCCGTTCGTTGAAGTCAGCTTCGCAGTGGTTGGCTTCACCAAAGTCGGCTTCGCCGAGGTCGACCAACCAAGCCGACTTGTTCCTCCAAGTCAATGTCGACCATGAAGCCTAGCCAGCTATGAAGTTGTCTTCGCCCAGGAGAGGGCCGAGCCTTTTCTCGTCAACAAAGGATAGGCCAGGTCCGGTCGAGTACACGTTATCAGGTGCATAAGGCAACCCACAAGCTCTACGTAGCGACCACTAGGCTCAACCGGCTCGTCAGGAACAAGAGCAGTGAGCATGTGGTCAATAGCAAGGGGATTGTGCTATGTGGAGAACTGGAAGCCGAATCGCTGAAAAACGTGTTGCACCATGTGTGACTGAGTCAGATTGATGGTGCACGATGCTCTGTCCATGGTAATCTGCAAGCCAAGATAGCTGCGCAACTCACCAAGGTCAATGCAGGCAAGCAACTCAGACTCAGACACGAAACGCAGACGCGACACCAGGTGACACAGTCCATAGAAAGATTGGTGAAACCCTTGGGCGTGAAACATGCGGCCAGAGTTTCAGCTGGTGCACGGTGTAGTGAAGCAAAGGGCGACGTACGGGCGCTTTCCATGATCAAGCATATGTTACTCAGCAACCCCATTCTGCCGCGGCGAGTCCGGAAGCATGAAGAACTTCGTGATGCCCTGCTCGCGACAGAACTTGGCAAGAACATGAGAGCGGAACTCAACCCCACGGTCAGAGTGGAGACAAAGCACAAAGAGGGCGCACTTGGCGCTAGTGGCCAGCAACCACGGGATCAGCGCACCAGGCACGTGAGCTTTCTGCTTCAGGGGAAACACCGTGGTGTAGCGAGATAAGTCATCCACAACAAGGAAGAACCTCTCGTCGCACGGCCCAGCAACCATGCTTGTCCTACAGTATATACAACTGAACGAGCATCATCGAAGGACATACCAAACACATGGTAACCATGGCGAAGCAGAGCAGGCAAGTACAGAGGAACCGAGTCAGACCCGAAACGCTCATGGTAGAGGTCATCGAGGCGCCTGAATTAGCGCAATGCCGAGTGGTCAAGACACCTGCAAGTAGTGCCAGCTCCAGGGCCAGCCAGAATCCGATACTGGCAGGGCCTGACGTCGCGGCCACCGTGACGAGCCCCGTAGCTGTTTGGGCAGTTGCTGCGTCCGACGCTCCCTAGATCACCAGGCCCCCACTGCTGCTGAGGTCGCCACTGCTGCTGAGGTCCCATTGCTGGAACTGCTTCTTCTGCTTCTGCTGCTTCTGCTGCTTCTGCTGCTTCTGCTGCTACTGCTGCTGCTGCTGCTGCTGCTACGGCTGCCCCTGCTGCTGCTGCTGCTGCTGCTGCTGCTGCTGCTGCTGCTGCAGAACTTTAGCAGACGCCATGGCGAAAGCCAGCTGAGACTAGGAACGGCTGGCTAGGAACGGCGAGAAACTGGTAGGAATGGCTAGGGACAAGGAGCGACTCCAGGGGAAGGTAATGCGGCTGCCAGCTGCTTTTGGGAGTGTCGTTGGCGAAGTAGAAGGTGTGAAACGGTAGGCACAGGTGGAAGGGTAAAGTACCCTGAACCCTAGACTTGGTGGCTAGCGGGACGCGCTGTTAGTGGGCAGGAGGCGTGCTAGCAGGGCGCGCGCTGGCTAGCGGGGCGTGCGAGGGTTGCACATGTCTCCTGCTAGTGGGGCGCGCCCTGGCTAGCGGGGCGTGCGGGTGCTGCACGTGTGTCCTGCTGGCAGGGTGCGCGTGGGCTGCTGTTGCCGTGGGCTGGTGGGGTGCACGCGCTGCTAGTGCCGTGCGCTGGCAGAGCGCGCGCTTGTGAATGCGCGCACGGGCTGCTGCTGCTGCGCGCTGACAGTGCATGCACGCTGCTGCTATCGCACGCAGGCAGGGCGCACAGGCTGCGACGAATGCACCCGCTGCCAACGCGCGTGCGTAAGGCTGGCTGGCGGGCTGGCTGGCTGGCGGCGCGCGCTGCCGGCTGCGGGCGCTAACTGGCTGGCAGCTGGCGGTGTTCTGGCTGGCTAGCGACTGGCTGGCTGACTGGCAATTGGCTGGCTGGCTGGTAGTGGTTGGCAGGCTGGCTGGTGTGCGCTGTGTGTTGCGTGCTGGCTGGTGAGGGGTGGTAAGGGGGCGAAACGAACGGAGCTAACGGTCTTAAGGAGGTAGGCGGGCTAGGATCGTAGGAACGGCCTACGATGTTACCAAGTCGAAATACAGTAGCATAGCGAAATGTAATCAACTAACACAAGGGTGATACACGTACCAAACCCTTCAAGTGCTGTATTCCTTAGAGAGCACCTCAGTGTAGCCTACAACTAACAAATACATATTTTTGACACGAGCCTGGTCTTTCGAAAAGCTGGAGTCGTACGCGTAGTTGGTTAGTGGACTGGACTCTATTCATGACTTCTGTGAGGGAGTGGCAGAACCAACAGCAGAATCAGTTGTTGGAGCAGCCACACTAGCAGCAAGCGCAGTGGCCATAGCAGCAGGTGCAATGGCAGTAGTCGCAGGTACAGCTGAAAGGGGTGATCTATGGTTGCCCGTAGCAGCATCAGTTACAGTGAGGGCAGCAGCAAGAGGCGCAGAGGCAGCTTGAGGTGAAAGAGCTGGTGTAGTACTGACCTCCGGGGCATCGGTTGCAGTTGCTGCTGCTGCAGCAGCAGGAGATGCGTCGGCAGCAGCAGGTGCAGAACCAGTGGCAGCAGGTGCAGTGGCAGCAGCAGCAGGTGCAGTGGCAGTAGCAGCTTTGGTCAGTGGAGCAGCAGGAGTAGCGGAATCAATTGCAGCAACAGTAGAATCAGGTGTGGCAACAGCTGGATTAGTAACAGCACTGCTGGCAGTACTGGGGGCCGAGGCGGGTGCAGAAAGTGAAGCAGGAACAGAAGAATTAGCAGAAAGGATAGGAGGAGTGGACGCAGGAGCGGCAGCTGGAGTGGACACGTTGAGAGCAGGAACAGCAGAAGAAGGAGCAACGGGAGCAGCAGCAGGAGAAGGTGTTGTGGTGGCAGCAGCAGGTGGCACAGGTTCAGTAGCAGCTGCTCGTGCTGCCATAGAGGCATTGGTGGGAGCAGGTGCAGGTGTGGTGAAGGGAGGCGGTTGGTTGGACGTGATTGAAGTGAGGAGCGCAGTGAGCGACCGGGGGGGAGGTGGCGTCGGGAGAGAGGGAGCAAGGTGAGAGGAAGGGGGAGGGGCAGTAAGTAGTTGCTGGCCCCAGGCAGGGCCGTATGGCCTGGCGACAGGGAGTAGGCCGGACGGCAAGCCAGCAGATGCAAGCAGCTGTGCGAGGGAGTGCAGTGCGGTGGTGGCGGGTGGCGCAGCGTGGGGGAACGGGAAGCGCAGGGCGTGAGCAGCAGGCGGGGCCGGCATGGGGTGGGGACCAAGAGCAGCTCGCAGGGCCGCCGCCACTATGAGGTCCGGGGCCAGCAGCGGTGCTGCCATGCCCGCTGACACCTGCCCGCCTCCTGCCAACTGCCCTCCGCCTGCTGCTCCCCTCGCTGCCATGCCCGCCCCACTCCCTGCTGCTGCTGCCCCGGCCCATGATGCCACCACACCATCCTGCTCGTCCCCACTCCTCCTCCTCTTCCTCCCTCGCTCACCAGGCTTGCACCCTCCTGCGCTCCTCCCTCCCACCTCACCAACTATGCCCTCCTTCGACTCCCACTCCTCCGTGCTGCTGCCCATCCCTCCAATTTCCTCTACGCTCATACTCTCACTGCTCTCACTCCCAGCACCCCCCTCCCACACCACCACGCGGGTCCTCTCAAGGCGGTGCCATGCCCGCCCCACCTCTGCCGCGCGGTGCGCTGTGAGCTGCCTGGGGAACGGCGTGGCTGCGGCAAGGGCAGCCCACGCACACTGCAGCTGAGGGGCGGCCTGGGCGATGCCACCCGCACGCCGGCCAGTGAAGCCAGCAGGGTGCTCACTTGAGGTGGCGGGGTGATGGGGGCATGCGTGGGGGTATGTGTGGGGGCATGCGTGGGGGTATGCGTGGGGGCATGCGTGGGGGTATGCGTGGGGGCAGCAGCAGCAGTAGCAGCAGCGGCAGTGGCAGTGGCAGCAGCATTAGCAGCAGCAACATGTACAGCACGTTGTGCAGTGATGGCAGGAGGGGCAGAAGGAGTAAACGCATTAGCAGTGGCAGTAGCACGGGGGTTGGTATTGGCATGAGTGGCGGGCAGGTCAAGGTCAGTGTCTGTGTCAAAACCACCACCACCATCATTGTCCGTCACGTCCAAGGCGCCATCGCTGTCTCCAGTCACGCCCCCATCCCCCCCATCACTCTCCATCCCATCCCCTGCCGCCCTGCCCCGCCCACCAGCACCATCGTGCCGTCCCTCTTCTATCCACTCCTCCTCGCGCACGTCGGTCAGCCGGCGGCCACTCGCCTTGATCTGAGCGCGCCTCTCCCGCTGCTCCTCTGCCAGCGCCACCAGCGCTGCCACCTCCTCCTGCCGCACTTCACACCGCTCGTCCAGTATCCCCCTTATCCTCGCGCTCACTCCTCCCTGCCCCTCACTCTCCTCCCCCTCCTCCCCTCCCCCTTCTTCAAATTCGTCCTCTGTCCCGCCCAGCCGGCCCCCTCGCCCCCTCGCCCCACCACCTCCTCCTGCAGTGCCCCCAGGAGGGTGGAACCCCCAGCGCTGCATGAACTGCTGCACCCACCCCACGCTGCATGTGAATCCCCGTCCCACCCCCACCAGTGGCGCCACCCGCCTCGCATACTCCTGCACCGCCCTCACTGACACCTGCTGCTGCTCCGCCCCTGGCCCCCCTCTGCTCCCTCCCTCACCCCCCCGCTCGCCCCCTGCAGCTGGCCTGTCCTCCTCCATCCTCGCTATAGCCTTCCTCACTGCGAGCGCAAGAGCCTCCTCCAGCCGGGACTCTGCGCCTCTGAGTCTGACGGCGCCCGGCCTGCCAGTGTGGGAGCGCTGCACGAGCTGCCTCCAGTCGTCCTCCCTCAGCAGCACCGCTGGCAGCGACACGTTCGTTAGCCTCATGCCGTACCTGCCATGCCATGCCATGCCAAGGGGGAGGGACACCCACAGGGAGGGGAGGTGTGGAGGGTGAAGGGTGAAGGGAGAGAGAGAAAGGGGTGGAGAGAAGGAGGCAAGAGAATGTGGAAGGCACCACAAGCAGTGATAACACTGAGTTCGGACAGAGGACTCTGGAGAGAAAGGGTTGGGTTGACCAATTACAACCAGGATGCATGTAACAGGGAGGAAGGGAGGAGGTGGGGTGGGTGAGGGTGGCAAGGAGTCCAACACAACGCACCTGGCGCCAACAGCGCGGGCGATGGCCTTGGAGGGGAGGGAGGGGAGGGTGCGGGCGAGGGCACACATGGCGAGCTTCACAGCGGGCGGCACCACCGTGTGGCGCCACCGCCGCTGCCTGCCGCCCGCCCCCTCCCCTGTGTGCCCATGCGCCTGCCCCGCCGTGCGTGCCTCAGCAGCCCACTGCTCCGCCAGGCGCTGCAGTCGGTCCAGCGGCCCCTCCTGCTGCTCCTCTCCCCCCGCTGCCCGCCCTGCACGCCCGGCAGCAGCAGCCAGGAGTGGCAGCGGCAGCAGGGCGGTCAGAGTGCAGTGATTGGCGTCCCTCCCCCCTCTCCTCGTCCGTCCCTCCACCATCACTGCTCTGCCCTTCGGTGGTGTTTCCATCTGTCGTGTTATCATCAGTGGTGCTACCATCAATCGACATCTCTCCCCCATCTCCTCTTTCCTTCCCTTTCTTCTTCCCACCGCCCCGCTCCACCTGCTTGCCCCAGTTACTCCCCAGCCCATGCCGCAGCAGCGCCTTGCGAGCCCAGTGGTAGCTGTACCGAAACCCCTCCTTCACGCCCATCTGCGGCCCCACCTGCCGGGCATAGTCCAAAATGTCATCCCACCGCAGGGCCTCTCGCCCGTACCGCGCCTCCATGGTGCGCACCCACGCCGCCACAGCCGCCTGAACCTGGGGGTAGGCGCCGCTGCTGTGGCGGATGAGGGTGGCGCTGTGGGCGGGCAGGGCGAGGTACACGTGGCTCTTCCTCAGGATGCGCCTCACCGCCGCCACGTCCAGCGCCGCCACTCCCGCCGCCTCCACGCCCGCCGCCGCCACTCCCCCCGCTGCCAAGTTCGCTGCCCTGCCAGCAGCAGCGGTGGCAGAGGCGGCAGAGGGAAGGGCAGTGCCTTGAGGATGGCGGGCGGCGGCAGCGAAGGCACGGTGCATGAGGCGGTGGATGTCTTTGGGCGGCATGTCGGGGCGGGCGGCCCTCAGCATGCAGATGACTCGCTTCACCCGCAGACTGATGGCCGCCCGGTGCTTGCCCTTCCCACCCGGCGCCTGCTTCTCCCTCCCTGCAGCACGCTGCCACTCCACGTGCCGCCTACCACCATCACCACCGTGGGCGTGGCCACCACTGGCGTCGGGCGTCCAGGCGGAGGTCTCCTGCTGCTGCCACTGCCGCCTCCACATCCACCAACGCCCCTCCCACTGCCGCTGCTGCTGCTGCTGCACCCCTCACCGCTGCCCCTGCTGGCGCAGCTGCCCGTCTGATTCCCTCTGCTGCCAATGTGCGTGCTACATCATCCGAGTCACACCCACCTGCTCCCTGCATGCCGCCACCCGCCTGCTCCCCGTCCACACCAGCCTCTGCCAGTGCCAGCGCCAGCAGCTCTCGACTCGGCTGCACCAAGTGTGCCGCCTTGCCTGCTGCCTTCTTCCTCGCCCGATCCCTTGCTGCGCCTCTTGCCGTGCCTGCCAGCAAGTCTACTCCTCCTGCCCATCCACCCGCCTCTGCTGCCGCCTCTCCTCCATCGCCCTCCTCGCCTGCCCCCCCACCTGCCTGCTCCCTGCCCTGCTGCGTCTGCTCCTCTGACCCGCCCTCGCCCCTCCGCCGCCGCTGCGGCCTGTCGCCCCTCTCACCCCCCTCGACCCTCTCCCCCCCCTCACCGCCCTCTAGGTCGATCACCTCCCTGCCAGCAGTCAGTGACGTCTCCCGTCCCACCACCCTCATCCCTCCCTTCCACGCACCTCCCCTCCCACGCCCCCTTCCCACTACTCCCCGCCCTCCCCTCCCTCCCCTCCCTCTCCTCCCTCCCCTTCCTCCCCTCCCACCCCCACCCCTTCCATCCTCCTCACCCTCGTCCTCATCATCCTCCTCACTGCCCTCCTCATCCCCCTCTTCCCCCTCCTCCCACTCCCCCTCCCCCTCCGCATCATCACCATCCGTCCGCGCCACCAGGATCTGGGCGCCAAAGATCTCATCAGCCAGCTCCACCAATGACGGCTCAGCACTGCAGGCAGCAGCGGCAGCAGCAGTGGCAGGGGCATCATTGAAGTACGCCTCCCTCTCCTCCTCCAGGTGCCGCTTTGAGAACCCCCACCGCTCCTGGAAACGACACGCCCACCCGATGCTGTACCTGCAAGGGCAGGTGCGAGGGTAGGCTCACTGGAAAGTGTTGAGAGACGCGGCAGTAAGGGGAGAGGCGAGGGACAGATGGAGCAGAGGAAGCAGCAAGCAAGGGGCAGAAGGAGGGCGCAGACGAAGCAGCAAGCGAAGGACACATGGCACAGTACCCCGCCTCATGGCACACTACCCCGCCTCATGGCACAGTACCCCGCCTCATGGCACAGTACCCCGCCTCATGGCACAGTACCCTGCCTCATGGCACAGTACCCCGCCTCAAGGCACAGTACCCCGCCTCATGGCACAGTACCCCGCCGCCCCTCCCATCAACCCTGGCAGCACCTGAAGGAGGGCGATACCCCAAACGACAGCCCCAGCTGGCGGCCCTTGGCGCAGATCTGCTGCAGCTGCACCTTGGTGGCGCCTGGGCCGCCCTTCATGTCCCTCAGCCACGCCACGAGCGCCTCCTCCAGCGCCATGCTCTCAGGCGCACGCACTCGCTTGCTGCTGCGCTGCGCCAAGGTGGAGCTCCAGTGGGGCGCCTTGTTGAGGATGCGGCGCACGTGCGAGGGGATGAGGCGCATGTGAGGGTACTTGGCGCGGCACACACGCATGATGCCGCCCACCGTGATGCCGGGGCGGAGGCGCCGCAGCTCACAGATGTCGCGCTTCACACTCACGTCCACGTGCTTGCGCCGCCCGCTCCTACTCCCTCCCCCGCCTCCCCCGCCTCCCCCGCCGCGCCGCCTACTGCCGCCGCCGCCACCTGCCTCTTCCTGCTCACCTGCGCCCCCACCTGCTGCTCCCCCACCTCCTGCTGTCGCTGCTGCTGCGGTGGGCACCTGAGAAGCATCCGGTGTGTGAAGGGCAGCTGCTGCGCTCCGTGGTGCTGCAGCGGGCGGGTGGTGAGGCAGCATGAGATCCATGCCACCTCCTGCCGCACCGCCTGCTGCCCACTCAGCCCCACCCCTGGAAGCAGCACCCCCAACAGCCACCCCGCCAGCACCAACACCTGCACCTGCAGCAGCATTGGCGGCAGAGGCTTGTCTGAGGGCCTCACGAGCAGCAGCGAGGCCAGCAGCATACCCCACCTCATAGTCCTCCTCCCCCTCCCCTCCCTCTCCCCCCCACTCCTCCCCTCCCCCTCCCCCCCACTCCTCCCCTCCGTCTCCTTCCCACTCCTCCTCTGCCGCTCCGCCACCCTCCCCCTCGTACCACTCCCCCCAAGCCCCATCCCCCCCCCTGTCCACACCCACACCCACGTCGGTGCGCCCGAGCTCCTCCCCACCGCCGCCCACTCCACCGCCGCCCACTCCACCGCCAAACCGCCATGCCTGCTGCCGTCCACCCTCCACCCACCCGCCAGCCGCACCACGAAACTGCTCCTCGCCGCCCCTTCCCTCCAGCTGCTCTTGCTGCTCATACTGACGTTGCTGCTGAAGATGCTGCTGCTGCTGCTGCCATTGCTCCTCCTCCTCCTCCGGCCGCTGCTGCTGCTGCTGCTGGTGCTGCGGGTGGGGCAGCAGCTGGTCACGGTGCATGCGCCCTGCACCCACCATCTGCTGCCTTGCGTTTGACTCCTCGCCCCCCCCATCCCACCGCTCCCCTTCCTCCTCGCCATCACCCCCCCATGCCATCTCCACTCTCCTACCCCTCGCTACACCTCCGTACTCCTCCCAATCCACACGCCCCTGCTGCCATCCCGCCGCTCCCAATGCCTCTCCACCACTCACCCGCCCATCGAGGTACCCCATTCCCCCGTCCGCGTCCCACCCCCTGCCGGCGTCTCCCCCTCTCATCCGCGCATTCCCACGCGCATGCGCGCCCGTCCCCGTCCAATCCTGTCCGCGCGCCACACCTGCGCCCCTCCCTCTGCGCGCCACCACCCCCCGCCCGCGACTGCCGTCCGCTTGCCCCGTTCCACCCCCCGTCCTCCCCCTCCCCGCGCCCTCGCTTGCGCGTACCGTACTCCCGCCTGCTCCGCATTCCGCACCCCTCCCCCTGCCTCCCCTGCGGCGGGATACGCGCCCCTCCGCGCCTCCCCCTGTCCATCCCTCCGCTGCATTCGCTGCTTCGCCTCCTCCACCCACCGCTCCCACTCCTCCGCCCGTCCCTCCGCCCTCCCGCGCTGCCACTGCCGCTCCGCGCACGCTTGCGCCGACCTCCGCGCCCTCCCCCACGCCCCATCCCGTTCCTCTAGCCGCGATTCTTCCTGCTTCCCCCCCATCCGCATAGCCGCCCTCCGCGCCTCCCCCAATCGCCCACCACGCCCCTGCAGTCCCCTCCGCCACCGCGCCCACCGCCTCCCCCCTCGCACTGCCTCTCCTCCCTCGTGCGCCTCCACCGCTTCTACCCCCCCTCGCCCCTTTTCTCCCCCTCCCCCTTCCCCCTCCGCCTGGCTCCATCCGGTAGCGCAGGGAGAGGCGGCGCCACGAAGCGACGCGAGGCGGTCAGCCACTGGCGGGGCTACGCGCGGGGAAGGGACTGCCGCACTGGCGGGCGCAGCTCTGGCAACCGAAGCTGAGCGAAAAACGCGCTGCGCGGTCGCATTACCTCTACTCGCCTCGGGCGGCTCTAGACTAACGGCTGGGCAATTACCTCGCGTGGTCGCGCGGCGCAACGCGCTTCGCGTGGCGAACGACGGCAGTGGCACTGGAAGCGGGAAAGCCTGGGTGGTGTGGGGCTGGTGGGACACGGGTGACTGCTGGCTCTCAGTTGCGCGCCACGTGGATGCTCCGGCCTACCAGAGGAAGAGAAAAGGCCTATTGGACGATCCAGACAAGCACAGAACGGATGTTCTTTTCTTTGAAATCTGATGGAAAATGAAGCGCACTTCATCTCGTGTCAGAAATGTGCGAAAACGAAAAATCCGCTTTACTGAATGGGGACGGGCAGGAGCAAAGTGCTACAGCTCAAAGGCAGGACGGCGTGAACCTTTCTAACACAAACCTGCATTCTTAGAGAAGATGTATATGTTACAAGAATAATTATTTGTCATCTTTGCTGTTGACCAACGCCCTAATGGACAAAATGCATCTCAATGGGTCGACCTGTCGATTTATACTCGTTCGTTTGTGCACGTTGTTAGGCTAGGTTGAGTTGGTCTATAGAGGGTATAATTTGCTACATGTACCCCCTTGTGTATGCGCCATTCGGGTCATTCTTGTTGGAAACAAGTAACTTAACGCTTCTGAAGTATCGAAGTATCGACACGAAACGGAGCAGACTACAGTGAAGCAACACGCGAGTCAACAAAAGTAACAGCTGGAGGTTACGCGAAGGTCAAAGGTCACTGACCTTTGACTCGACGAAAAATACAGCGCGACAGCAAGGACACATAACTGACTCGATACTGAGCAGTTACCCGAGTCGTCACTGTATCGAACCGCAACAGCAAAACAGTTAAAAGTCGCATCTCTTTGTCAAATTATATGCCTATGTCATAATAGAATGTAGGCTTTAGTGGGGTAGCTAATGTAGGGTATAGTTTTTTGTTACTTGTACCCAACTTTCTCGATAGTGCACTACCTTTTTCCCTTTACTCTCGACATGGTATTAAGAGCGACATAGGTCCTTAGGACCGTTTTAGGACTGTTTTTCAGGGCCCACCAACCGTTTTCCGCCGGTTACCGAGTTACCCCGCCCCTTGCCTACACTACCCTGCATCGCACAGCCCTCGCGCTCGCCTCTGCTGGCCCTCGTACAGCCCGCTAGCAGCCCGCCTGCTGCCTCGTCAGCCCCGCGCGTAGCCCGCTAGCTGCCTTGTCAGGCCCGCGCACAGCCCCGCAGCCCCCGCGCTGCCTTCTCCTGCCCCGCGCGTCGCTTCGCAGCCCTCGCGCTGCTTTCTACGGCCGCCGACGCGGCCTCGCCCTGCCGCTGTCGCGGCCCCACCCTGCCGCCGACGCGGCCCCGCCTGGCCTGCGCGCTGCCCCCCGTCGCCAGTCGCGGCGCCTGTGGGACCCGCGTGCTGCCCTGCACCAGCTCCGCCGCCCCTGGTGCAGCCGCCCCTGGACCCTCGAGCAGCCGCCCCAGGACCCAGAGCAGCCGCCCCTGGCCCCTGAAGCAGCCGCCCCTGGTGCAGCCGCCCCTGGACCCTCGAGCAGCCGCCCCTGGACCCAGAGCAGCCGCCCCTGGCCCCTGCAGCAGCCGCCCCTGGAGCAGCCGCCCCTGGACCCCGAGCAGCCGCCCCTGGCCCCTGAAGCAGCCGCCCCTGGTGCAGCCGCCCCTGGACCCAGAGCAGCCGCCCCTGGCCCCTGAAGCAGCCGCCCCTGGTGCAGCCGCCCCTGGACTCTCGAGCAGCCGCCCCTGGACCCAGAGCAGCCGCCCCTGGCCCCTGAAGCAGCCGCCCCTGGTGCAGCCGCCCCTGGACCCAGAGCAGCCGCCCCTGGCCCCTGAAGCAGCCGCCCCTGGTGCAGCCGCCCCTGGACCCTCGAGCAGCCGCCCCTGGACCCAGAGCAGCCGCCCCTGGCCCCTGCAGCAGCCGCCCCTGGCCCCTGCAGCAGCCGCCCCTGGAGCAGCCGCCCCTGGACCCCGAGCAGCCGCCCCTGGCCCCTGAAGCAGCCGCCCCTGGTGCAGCCGCCCCTGGACCCAGAGCAGCCGCCCCTGGCCCCTGAAGCAGCCGCCCCTGGTGCAGCCGCCCCTGGACTCTCGAGACGCCGCCCCTGGACCCAGAGCAGCCGCCCCTGGCCCCTGAAGCAGCCGCCCCTGGTGCAGCCGCCCCTGGACCCGCGACGCCGCCCCTGGAGCCCGTGCAGCCGCCCGCCGAGCGCCGGCCCTGCTCGCCCGGCGAGCGCCTGCTCTTCCCGCCACTGGTGAGCACCTGCCTTGTTAGCGCGCTGCCGCGCCATCTGCCTGCCTGCCTGCCTGCCAGCCTGCCTGCCTGCCTGCCTGTCTGCCTGCCTGCCTGCCTGCCTGCCGCGCCTGCTCTGCTAGGCTACTGCTACTGCTACTGGCGGTGGCCAGATGCAGCTCCAGCGACGTCCGCGCGAGTCTCCCACGCCCCAGCAGCTTCGTGAGTGGTACGCTAGTTGGGGTTGTGGCGGTAGCCGTCGTAGCTGTCGCTCTGGAGCTGGTCAGTTGGGAGCGTCTGGCAGTGGCCAGCTGCAGCTGCAGCGGCGTCCACACGAAACACTTACGTCCCAGCAGCTTCACGAGTGGTACGCTCAGAGTAGAGGGTCTTTGAGTACCGTTCGCTGCCCGTACGTCATTCGCACAGGTGATCGGACGGGTCAGACTTGTGGGACGCTGAGTCACACCCAATCCCGCTGCTTTGCCCGTCTGAGTGACGCCTGGCGTACCGAGTTTGGCGACGAGGCTGAGCTCCCCGACTGGGTGGAGCTGCTTGGGCAGAGGGTAGATATATTTGCTCTTGACTATGATGCTATCCTCACTGCCATGTATGCATTGCCTACTAGTGCTGACCGTACCTGTTACCTGTGCGTACCGCCTGACCCAGGTATACAGCCTGCTACTCTCGGTGCTGGTGAGGCTGCTGCTCTAGGTGCTAGTGCGTCTCCTGCTCTGGGTGCTGGTGAGGCTGCTGCTCCAGGTGCTGGTGAGTCAGCTCTCTTTGGTACTGCGCCTGCTGAGGCCTTGTACACCTTCACACTTGACTCGGGTGCTTCCCGCTCCTTCTTTCGCGACCGCACCACCCTCACGCAGCTCAGCCGGCCGGTTCCAGTCTCCCTGGCAGACCCCTCTGGGGGTCCAGTCCTTGCGCACTCCTCCACGGTCCTGCCGTGTCCGGCGGTCCCGTCTGGCTCCCTGTCGGGTCTTCACCTCCCCTCGTTCTCTACGAACTTGGTGAGTGGTGCTGACCTCCAAGACCAGTGGGTTGACCAGTTCACTCCTGGAGGTCAGCGCGTGACCCACTGTACGTGCTCCCGGACGGGCCGGCACCGTGCGCCTGGCTCGAGTTTGTACACACTGACAACTGTGTCCCCTCAGGTCGCTGCGTCTGCGTCTGCGTCAGGTCAGCTAGCGGCCCCCTGTTCGTGTCGCGCTTTGTCGCACCAGACCCTCCTTTGGCACCACCGCCTTGGTCACCCCTCGGTGCAGCGCCTTCGTAGCATGCACCGCCGTGTCCTTGTCTCTGGTCTTCCCAGGGTTCTCCCTCCCCTCCCACCCTCGCCTGCTCCTCCCTGTCTTCCCTGTGTCGAGGGGCGGCAGCGCGCCGCTCCTCACTCCTCCTCGTTCCCTCCCACAGAGGCTCCCCTGCAGACTCTCCACCTGGACGTGTGGGGCCCAGCCCGCGTCCGTGGACAGGGCCACGAGCGGTACTTCCTGCTGGTCGTCGACGACTACACGCGTTACACCACGGTCTTCCCCTTGCGCACCAAGGGTGAGGTCCCTGATGTTTTGATCCCTTGGATCCGCGCTACTCGTCTCCAGCTCCGCGAGCGGTTTGGGACGGAGTTTCCCGTCCTGCGTCTCCACTCTGACAGAGGTGGGGAGTTTTCCTCCGACCTCTTGGCAGCCTTCTGTGCGGAGCACGGCATCCGCCAGACGTTCACGCTTCCGGCCTCTCCGCAGCAGAATGGGGTTGCTGAGCATCGCATTGGCTTAGTCATGGAGGTCGCTCGTACCTCCATGATCCATGCGGCTGCCCCCCATTTTCTGTGGCCGTTTGCGGTCCTGTACGCCGCGCATCAGCTCAACCTCTGGCCCCGTGTCTCCTTGCCGGAGACCTCGCCCACACTATTGTGGACGGGGAAGGTTGGCGATGCGTCGCGTTTCCGGGTCTGGGGTGCTCGTGCCTTTGTCCGCGATACCACCGCGGACAAGCTCTCCGCCCGCGCTGTTCCCTCTGTCTTCCTTGGCTTTGTCCCTGACGCGCCTGGTTGGCAGTTTTACCACCCCACCTCGCGCGGTGTCTTCCCCTCTAAGGACATCACGTTCGACGAGTCGGTTCCCTTTTACCGTCTCTTCCCCTACCGCACTGCCCCTCTTCCCCCCCCGCCGCTCTTCCTCGCTCCAGGTGCTCCCCAGGTAGACCCCCTCCCCGCTCCCGGTCCTGCTCCTTCAGGTGTGTCTCAGGTAGACCCTCCTCCCTTGACTGCGCCGGTTGAGGTCACTGGTGACTCAGGTCTTGCTGAGGGTGGTCCTGCTCGGGGTGCTGCTTCTGGGGGTGCTGAGCCTGGGGGTGTTGAGCCTGGGGGTGCTGCACCTGGGGGCGCTGAGGCGTCTGGTGAGCAGTCTCCCTGGAGCGGCCGTCTCCGTGGTCGCTCCGCTGGTACCTCGCCGCTGCACTCTCGTCGTCGACTCCCTCTCTCCCCACAGCAGCTGCGTGAGTGGTACGTTGGCCGTCAGGGTCGCACTGCTGGAGCTAGGGGCCCTGCTGCGGGAGGCGCTCGAGCTGGTGACTCTGCTATTGGAGTTGTTTCTGCTGGAGGTTCTGGAGCTGCTG